TCAGGCGTGGATATGGTTACCGAAGATGACAGTCGATGGCCAATAGGTTTGTAATTAAAGATTGTCCTATTTTAGTCAATTTGAGCATGTACTGTAATAGTTAACAATTTTGCCATATTTTCAATATGCATTTTTATCACATTTATCACCAAATTCATTACTGTTTTTAATATAAATAAATTCTACTCATACAGTACATACAGTATACATTATTACATACTGTATATTATACTGACATACTATACTGTATATGAATTTCTCTGTGCAAGAAACACATATCTCTTCAAACTGTAATGCATTTCTTTTAATGCTTTACATTTTAATAATAGTTGGCAATTTAGTTTAAATTACACAAATTAGTGATTTATTTAGTAAATATGTGTAATATACATTAGATATCGCTAATATAGAATCGTTGAATATTTAGCCTAAATTTTCATTGAGACCCCTAAATTTAGTCCTAAAAGTTCCCAACCTTTCACCATTAACATCCCAATATATACCATATGTTTGTTCGTAGAGTGAACGGGTCTGATCTGCAATTGTTCCCATATATTACATTGATAATGTAACAATAATGTGGTAACTTGATTGAACTAGGTCTGTACGACATGTCCGGCCGAATGGGGAAATTGGATTGTTATAAGGACTTTGACTCTCCATTCTTTGGTCTCAACGATCAGATCATAGCCGAGTCTGACCCACAGGCCAGGTTGCTTCTCGAAGTGGCCCACGAGGCTATGCTCGACGCAGGTATGCTTCTCTCTCTCTCTCTCTCTCTCTCTCTGTCTGTCTGTCTTTCTTTCTTTCTTTCTTTCTCTCTTTTCCTCTATGTTTATACAATATAATTAATGACTGATTTAATGAATTGTTTATTTTGATTATAGGTGTGAATCCTCAGGAGTTGAGGGGAACAAAGACTGGAGTATACGTTGGAGTTTCCATTTACTCCATGACTGACGGCTACCCCGAAGACGGACAGCCGGACTTACACGAGAGTATGCAGACTCTTATGGTTCAGGTGTTGGCCAATATGAAGACCCTCTACTCCAGCCGTATATCGTTTGCTAATGACTTTAAGGGCCCGTGTCTTGTAGTGGACACCGCCTGTTCGGCCAGTCTTAGCGCCCTCACACTGGCCTGCAATGATTTGCTGCTAGGTGAGTTTTGCGGTCATTCTATTTACTAAATTATCTTGTTGATAACTAGGGTTGCCAACTGGTCAAGGTTTGCCTTGATTTGCAAGGTGAGAGGGTTCTGGTCAAGGTGAAAGGCGAGGGCCTCACCTTGACATAGACAGGTCAAGGTGAGAGTAAATGTAATTACCGTATGTCTATTTTAGGTATTTATTGTAATGAACACACTATTTAAAACCCAGAATAATATTTATTGCCTATTTGTATAATAGCAAAACAAATCCTTTATTAAAAACCCTTCATAAGAAAGACTTNAAACCCTTCATAAGAAAGACTTTTGTCTTCAAAAAGCCCGTATCTTATATGGAAAATACATTGTATTATAATAAAACTAAATTAAATTAAAACTTGGTAATATTTTAAAAATATTTATAATCAAATATGCAATAATAATCGTGGTCAAAATTTGGTCAAGATAAATTTAGAAAATTGTTGTATTTTTCAAGGCGGTAGTCGATCAGAGTTGGCAACCCTATTGATAACTGTCTATTAATTAATTGAATAAATTTAAATACTGTAAGATATTATGTATATAAAATAATGTAGTTGCAATTAAATATTCAGTACCTTGGGAATATTTAATGTAATAATGATATGATTACAGGCAATACGGACTACGCGATAGTGTGCGGCACTCATATGGATTTCGAGCCCTTTATCTTTCAGTTTCAACAAGAGTTGGGAATCTGTTCGCCGGACGGTATGTCCCGTGTATTGGACGCCGCGGCCAATGGCTTCGTAAAGGCAGAGGCCGTGTGCTGTGTGTTCTTACAGCGCCGTCAGTGCGCCCGCCGTCTGTACGGACACATATTGACGGCCAAAATGAATGTCGACGGACACAAAAAGATGGGAATGTTTTTCCCCTCGTCTGAGGCTCAGGAGGAACTGATGCGCATGACGTACACCGAAGCCAACATCGATCCCAAAAAGATTACCTTCATTGAAGCCCACGCCACCGGCACCAAGGTGAATTACATGCATAATTGCAGCCATTTATTGTTATTTACTGTATATAAATAGTGCATGTTTATACTGTACTATTCGTTATAATTGATAGTTTTTAATGTGACATTAAATGTATTTTAAATTTATGATAAAACCCATGTATATATTTTTTTAATAACCGTTTTAATATAATGTATGATAAATAGGCGGGCGATCCTCAAGAGGTGAAAGCGATATACAACGCGTACTGTGAGGGCCGGACTGAGCCCTTGCCGTTGGGGGCGTTGAAGAGCAATATGGGTCACTCGGAAGCCGGCTCTGGGGTCGCGGCTGTCATTAAAGTGATGATCGCTTACGAGAATGAATGCATTCCTCCGAACATTAACTTTAAAACATTAAAAGGAGATATAGAGAAATATTTCCCACCACTTCTGGCCATTACTGAAAAATATCCGTACACTCCGGGTTAGTTGATTATTATAACATATTGCTATAATATACGCATACCAACAGTATGTCATATTTAAATACTAAAATGATCATACTTTGTGAAGGTCTCGCCGGTGTTAACAATTTTGGCATCGGTGGGTCAAACGCACACGTATTGCTCGAACCGAACCATAAGTTGGGAACGAGTGATGGCTTTCTAATCGCGGAAACGATTCCCAGAATTGTCAACATTTGCGGCCGAACTGAAGATGCGGTCAAATATGTGATGGATTTCATACAAAACAACCCAAAGAGAGTGACGAATGACTTTTTGGCACTTTTGGCACCCGTTATGAAAACCACACCCGATATTAATTCTGCCGGAAAGCCGTA